ACTTTCAACCATCTGTCGATGACCGTTACGACTAAAAAAAACTTCGCTAGGTCTTACTTTCAGGGGTAGGTCTTATATTTCGCAATTCAGCAAAATCTGTGCTAGGTCTTATTTTCTGCGGATGTCTTATTTTCGGGGAAACACGGTACTCCAAACTGATTACAGTGTGCACATAAACAAAGCAAACAAAAATCTGTTTGTTTTGTTTATGTGCACACTGTAATCAGTTCAGAGTATGTGATTAACTTTAATTTTTCTGATGAACAGTTTAATTATCTGAATTTACTGAAACTACTGATAGGTAAATGCTTATTAATAACAAGCAAGCATACTATTATGCATTGATCTTTTACTTTGTCAATTATTCTTATTAAGTAATTAAAGGTATTTAACAAATAATGAACAAAAATCTATAACAAGTAACTAAATTTAGTGAATTGATGTAGCAAAATAACAACCAGGAATGAAAAATAATTTAAGATTTTATAATTAATATTTATAAATTATAAAATTTTATAAAAGTGTAAGTAAATTAAAAGCATAAATCAATTTGAAACCTTGTTTAATAAATGTATTGTAGCAACCTCATCACACTTGTATATTCTAGTTTTACCACTGAAAGTGCTTCATGTGAGAACATTTAGTGCAGATAATTGGATGAAGTGCTCTCAGCAAAATTGCTTGAAAGAAGATAATCTAAAAACCTTGACAACAATCATCTTAAAGGATCATCACTTTTTCAGTTTCCAAATGTAAAGCTGTTGAAGCATTTGAATGCATGAAAGACAGAAGAAAGAAATAAGTTTTTTTTATCTTGTAACATTCTCATCTAATATTCTTAAGTACAGTCCGGAAATACTCAGCAGAGATAAAATTACAAACTTACAACAACACCTGTGCATTTGCTGAGAGAAGTTTTTATTAGAAAATGTTTTCAGTCTACTCCCGTAGCCCATCAACTGATTTAAAAACCTGATAATGGCCTATAGGAGTAGACTGAAAACATTTGTTAATAAAAACTTCTCTCAGCAAATGTAGTAAGTTTGTAATTATATTTAAGATTTGTACTATTGTAAGTAAGGAATCTGAATCAAACTCAATCATAAATATGTATTTAAGTACATGAAATCATTGACTAATGGAAAATAAATTTATATTTGACTCTTAATATTTATACTTGACTCATATTCCTGTGATCCATGAGTCAAAATGTCTCATAATATTTTAGGTCTAGCACAAGCTCTGATTATAACCCACTCATTACTTAATCTGTCTGGTTTCAAATTGCCTTTTAATCATGAGCCACACAAAATTACAGTGTACCTCTGAGTAGGCTTTGAGAGATTATGAAATATATTAAATTTGATGTTAAGTCAGTCAGAAAAATTGACTGCAAATGATAAATTTGCTTTATCAGGTGTGGAAAAATTTATTTATTATATTATATATCAAAAGAGGATACTTCTGTTAATGAGTGATTATTTCTTACTACAGCAAAATGAAAATTTATTCAATATATCACAAAAAAATCTTACAAGTTAAGTTTTGGCTTGCTGTTGATACTAGGTCTAAATATATTTTATATACTTTTTCCTTATTCTGAAAAAGAAGAAACTGATTATACAGTACCGTATAAGCAATAATTTTCTGTAAATGTGCTATTACAAATTTTATAACAGCATTTAAATTAATAAATGACCTAAAATAGTGTTATTTTATAACAATATATTATAAAACAGAGTTGAAGTCATGATTCAAGCAGTGAGAAATCACTGAATATGCTTTTACTATTTTATTGGTAATGTTAGAAAACTACCAATAAAATAGTAAATAATACGTTAGAAAAGGCACTTGTAAACCACTAAATGTTAAAATGATACTTGTATATGTGTCATCAGTATAAAAATTTTGCATACAGAAAAAGTGCTTTGTTACTATAAAATACAATATACTATATTAACTGTGAAAACATATAAGGATTTTAATTTCAAATGTTGATAACATAATTTTATTTAAAATTTAATTTTAGTTAATATAAATGATAACATTTTCTTGAAGAAAAGTTTATTAGTTTTATGAAATGTTTAGTAGAACCAGCCAAAATGACTAGCAATAGCAGAGTCAATAGATATACTGGTCCTTGCACTGCCAATAGCTCTAATGCTATTGGCAGTGGTGCTTTCTGGAAGTATTTAAATAAATGAAATCTTTTTAGTTTTTAAGTATTCTATCAAGGATGAAAACAAGAAAAGAGCAAATTATTAAAAATAATATGAATTTCACAAGGAGGAAAAAAATAAACTTTTAATATTAATTCAGGTTTATATCATATGAAAAAATACAAGAAATTAAAAGTTGCTTTATCTAAACTAACATGTATAGGAGAAACATATACAGTATTTTACTTTCATTGCAATAACCTAAATGTCAGACTGAGAAATAATCTTTGTTAAAAATTCATTGTATCCTGTAAATACAATGTCATACACTTGTATATATACCTTTTTTGATAAAAATAGTCTTTATTATATTGATGAGTGAATTTCTAAGGGATGTTTTCCAATATTTTAGTATCATCTTAACAAAGAAGATGCTAAAATATTGGAAAAGGTGTACTTAAAACTTCTCTGCAGAAATTGAACACAACTATAATTAAATAATACTTTTGATAACTTTTCTTGAATATTAATATATCTTAGAAAAGATATTATTGTTCAAGTTCAACATAAATTGAATCATGTAAGATTTTATTGTTCAACGAGCAATTATTTATTGTGACATCATCACAATGCCGGGCTGCAATTTTTAATCATATTTTTTAAGTTTATTTAATTTAAATATATGCTCTCCTCCACAAATTATTAGTGTCTTGCTCCTGTATGTAATACTTTTCCAGTTATCAATAGTCATGCCATCATCTATCTAACTCCTTACAGGGAAAAATTTTTGAATTGAAATAACATGACTTCCAGTTTGCATTGGAAGTTCATATATAGTTAACTGGGCCTTTCTGTCCCTAAACTTTCCATATCTGGTCTTGAATTTAATTTATCTAACACTATTTTCAAGATTCAGGAAGGACACACAAACAGACATACAGATGGACAACTGGGTATTTATAGGTCCACAGTTTTTTCAAATTGCAGCCCAATAAAAGTAGTTTTATTTTATAATTATTCTCAAAATAAAAATATTTCATGTTATATATTGTGTTGTTTATTTTAAATGGCATGTGCTGTTTTTATTGTGCAGTAGTTTTTAATATGAGATTCTGATATTTAGCATATATTATCATAATTTATAAGTATATCATTTTAAATAAAAGTTTTTTTTCAGATAAAATGATCATCATATTTCTTTTCAATATTCTCTAAATTTTCAAGATACTATAAAATTGGGATTGTTTTGTATATATGTTTGTATCCCATGTCTTCTCTTCGTCACATAGCAACTGAACCAGCTAATTTAAGTCAAAAATTAGCTGGTAATGCTTGCAATCCTGATGATGCTGTTAATCATGACAGAACATCTAGTCATTCGGATTCTGTAAGTAGAACATAACATTTATAATTTACTTTATAATTTAGCAAATGATATGAATATTTACGATTGTATAAATTGCTGATAAATACAGTAGAATTTGCTTATTGTAATCCAAGTTTGAGTTACAGGTATCATTATGTTCAGTTAATTAGATAGTTTTAAGACTATTATCAATCACATGTTAAAACTGATTTCACAAAAAAACAGACATCTGTTAACAATTACATATTATCAGTTTAATTAGGAGTTTAAATGTTAAACATTAATTGTTTTAATTGTTATTTTCTTATAGTACATTAATTTAAATTTCTAATCAAGGCACTGGGTCTCCTTGCAGTGTCTTGATCAAGCTCATGAATGCCTAGCCATTTTGTTCACAGGATCTCTTATCTGTTGAACATGTTTGAGATACTGTCAGATGATATCTCTCTTGTTACATCTCTTGCTACTCCAATGGCAACAATGAATAAACTGATAACAAGGGTTCATAAAGCATGGTTAAAACATCCCTTAAATTATTATCATAGGATATTATAAATTTTAAGGTTATTTTATGTTTAGAAGTTACAGAACATTTTAAGAGTTACAAAAAAACTGTTGTTATGGTTATGCACAGTTAATGTATATATCTGTATTGAAGAATTTCCTATTTGGTATGTGTTTAGTATTGCTGCTTTCTGTACTGTCATGTATGTGCTGTTTTAAAGTAATAATATTCTTAGATTTTTGTGTAGTGTATATGATATGATGCCTGCAAAAGAAAGAATTACGGACATAAAAAAATACCATATTCATTCTCCAAAGACATTTCATTTCATAGGCGAGTTCTGAATATTTGCTAAAATTTTTACTATATGTATTTTGTCAGTATTTGGAACAGTGATGTTTATAATAACAGCAACAAATACACCTTTAAAATTTCAGCAACTCAAATATATTTAGAACAAATGTTTTTAGCCATGTTTAAAGGCTCTCCTTAAGTTCTTAGTTGAACATAACATATGTAAAAGAACAAAAAAAGGAATAACGAATAATATTCCTTTTAAATCATAGAAAATTGGTCAAATTCAAAATCATTGGAATATGCAATTATTTATAAAATTTTCTTATAAACGATGAAATAAAATAGATAATAAAAATATAACCAAAAATTAAATTTAAAACAAGCAAAGATATTTGAAGGAAAACATTGTCAAGGGCTTTCTTATAGTGACATTATGCATAAGAAATTGTTGTTTCAGTGTTTTTTGAGTTCATAGATTTGGTTCTTTTTGAGGATTTATAGATATTTAGTTTTTTTAGTTATTTTTAAATTATATAAATTGATTATAAAAAACTAACAAATAAACCAATTTTATTTATTTTTAAATATTTTCATAGGATATTAGCAATAGTACAGCAAGTGTATCCCAAGCATCTCTTCAGTCAGAACCTCCACCTCAGATGAAATCATCATTGACATTAAATTTACCATTAATAAGTGGATTGAATGTTGAGGAAATTGAAGAAGAAAAATTAGAAACAAAAAAAGTTGCACCAAGTAAAAGGCGACAAATGAGAAGAGGTAGTGAATGGGAAATATTAGAAGGTCTTAAAGATGGCCAAAGATTTGAGGAAAAGCCTGAAAAATTTGAAGGTTACATGATGAAAAGAAGGAAATGGCCATTGAAAGGTTGGCATAAAGTAAGTATACAGTTATATAATTAATTAATAAAGAGTTATTTCAAAAATACAAAATTTGGGAAATGTATATTAAGACTAACTTATATAAAATAAATTACTGTTGAATATCTTAAAATATATTGAGTTTAAAAAAAGTACTGAAAATATAAAAAATGAAAAGTAATGATTTTTAATTGAGTATAGATCAAGTTTTCTTACATAGAATATAAATTAGAATTCTATTAAAATTACTAAAATTTTTAAACAAATGAAATGTTTATACATGGTGTGTATATATATATATACCATGTATAAACATTTCATTTGTTTAAACATTTTAGTAATTTTAATATATACATATATATATATATGTATATATAAANACTTGTTGGAATCTTGACTTGCATATGTTAAGAAGAGAACCTATCCTAAAACAGGATGAAAACATTTCTTTGTGAAAAATTTAAACAGTTGGCTATTTGAAAGTAAGCATTTTGTGCAGATAATTCATTACATTACTGTTTAGAAATTATTATAGCTCAAAAGTTATTTAATAATAATTTAAATTATATACAAATGTTCTTTAATTAATATAAAACAAATTTCTCAACTACAGAGTTTAAAAAAATGAGGTAAGACGATCTAGTATTGTAATGACATCATTATTTTTTGATTTGTTAGCATATGCCATAAAGTTATGCTGCCGTTTGTCACAAAATGAAACATTGCACAGTCAAGCTAGAACTATTGTTTTATATGTATAATTATATTCAGTTGTCAAAATATACTTTGTAGCAATGAAAAGGTCAATGAGTTTACAGCTTATTTGGATGATAATTATTGTGTCACTTGTATTAATGACATTTCAGAAAACTTTGATGGTAATGTGGATAGGAGATGATTACTGGAAATTTATCAGCTTTTAAGATAAAAAATTCAAATAAGAGTGTCTGATATTAATTAAAACATAAATTGAACATAAAGAAAATGAATGGGGAGAACTAATGACAAAGTATACATATACTTGTTGCAGATGGTTTAAGAAAAAATTGCAATAGCAATTTTTCTGTTTGCCGCTCTCAAAGGATTTTTCAGGTTTTCTAAAGATGGTAAGTAACTTTATACAAAGGAAAAGCTGTTTAAATTTTAATTTGAATATACAGTATAATTACAATTTAAAATTGACATACAAACCAGGGCTTGCATTTTCTTGCAAATTTCCTAAGAAAACTGAAATTTTGGGAAATTCAGACTTAGAAAAATTTCACTTTTATTGCAAGTCAAAGTTTCAAATTGTATTTCCCAACACCATAAGTACAGGCACTTACTGATTTACATATAATTGCTATAATAAATGCACATGACCAATCTTTAACTATTGTTAGTAACAGGGCCAATGACCAAAAACACAGGTTTGCTATATTATGCAAAGAAAATGGGAATTGGGCTACTTTAATTTTTCTAAACAACCACTCACCAAACTGGGATATACCGTGTTTCCCCGAAAATAAGACAGTGTCTTATATTAATTTTTGCTCTGAAAAATGCGCTAGGTCTTATTTTCAGGGAATGTCTTATTTTTTCCTGGAAGAAGAATTCACATTTATTATTGGACAAAAAAATTCCCAAGTCGACTTAGACGAGAGTGACGTATATCCGGTGTGTCAAACTGTCGCCTTTTCATAGCGTCAACATCGGACTCGATGACCAATTAATGCTTACTGAACCGCAGCACTATGCAAATGTCATGTGGCGTGATTCCCGGCCGACCAATTAGCCATCACCAGCCGTAACGTTATGCAAATCTGTGATTCCCAAGCCATAGTCTTATGCAAATCATGCCGTGTGGCGTAATTGTCTGCTGACCAATCAGTGGCTGTACTTTCAAAAAGCCAATGGCCACTTTCAACCATCTGTCGATGACCGTTACGACTAAAAATAATTTCGCTAGGTCTTACTTTCAGGGGGAGGTCTTATATTTCGCAATTCAGCAAAATCTGTGCTAGGTCTTATTTTCTGCGGATGTCTTATTTTCGGGGAAACACGGTACTCCAAACTGATTACAGTGTGCACATAAACAAAGCAAACAAAAATCTGTTTGTTTTGTTTATGTGCACACTGTAATCAGTTCAGAGTATGTGA